GATGCTACACTTTCCTTTACTACGTTGTTTGGATACGATCGTCTACCATCTCTGGAAACTACCCATATCCTACTGCTGATCCATTGAAGGAGCTTGCGCTAGGGCAAAAGGTCTGTTACGAAGCCTGAAGGTGCTTCGCAGTTTGATCACTTTTCCGCCTGATTTCCTTATTAGATAAGAACGAGGTCTCAAGGTTTTCACGCCAGAAAAGGAGCCTTCCAGATTCCAGTATCCATAAGGATTTGGTTCACATTTCTCCCTTCCACTTGCCTGCATAAGAAGACGATGCGTTACAGTACCTTGAAGTCGTGGCGGATAGAGCTGGGAAGGAGGTGGGCAAGGCAAGCTGGAGACCCAGAAAGCGAGGAGAGCTGGTGGAGTAGGGGTCCACAAGCGAAGTCTGATCGAGGAAGAGAGGCAGCTGAAGGAGAGTGGAATCCAGACAAAGCGAAATGGACAAAGAGGGGGACCCGAAGGGAGAGGGGAGCCCAAAAGAAGTCGGAGACTCTCTTGAGAAACAACCAGAAAATCTGTTAGACTTGAATGGCACTAGAGATAGCTATAATATTCCCAACAACCTGCCTTTGATTTCAGTAACTTCACATATACCACTCGCCTGGAACACTTCACGTGAGGTTATAGGACCATCATAGATGTTTCCTATCTGAATCTCTGTTTTTTCCTGTGATGCACTAAAACGTGTAGAACACTCTGTCGTAGATTTTTCAAAGGGACGAAACAAATGTAAATGCTTACTTTCTCGAGTCTCAAAAAGTAAACTTCTCTCCAAAACAATAAAAGCATATCTTTCACTGTCAGCTTTAGCTGACCAAAGAATTTTCACCTTTAGGCTAATCGAGCATTTCCAGTGTCAACCTCAATAAGACCCGATCGTCGTTGATCCCGGTTCTGATTATCCACGAAGACGCCACTGTGGATGCTGACACTCTGAGCGCCATCAGGAATGAGCTGATTCGAACCGAATGGTGGGCACATTCGATCGCCACTGTTATGGCCGGCGCAGGACTAGCTCTGGCTGTCATTGCTGCACTTTACGCTCTCTACAAGGTAAAAAATATCTGCTGATTTTCGTCCCTTTTCGGATGTTGTCTGCTAATACTGCAACTGTTCAAAGAGAATTTCGTGATGAGAGGTGTGTCGGCCAGAAAACCCTCCTATTTCAAGGGCTGATGCATATGAACGTAGCATTGGTGCCTGGACCGTTTTCCCGACCTTGTCTCTGCGGCCGTGTTTGTCTAGTCTTTCGCTGAATGCCTCTGCGTCTCTAGCAGGGCACATCATTGGTTGAAAATTTTGGTCGCGTCCGTACCACCCCCCCTCCCCCCTCGAAAGGTGGCTAGATACGACTCCCCCTACTTCCATCGAGCTGTCGAGCGGGAAGGAGAATATAGTGCACTACAATGGCGGGAGACTTACGAACAGCCCTCTCTCGCCAGGTTCAACCCACCACTATCATTAGATTTTTCAGCCAACTCTTTACTCACATTGTTTCCGAATTTTTCCAGAATGAAATACATCCCTTTCCCGAAATTTGTCGCTAATCGAAACGGGAGGCGGGGAGGGACGGAAGGTGTAAGTGCACTGCAGAAACGGGAAAAAGCACTAAAACTCAACAGCCGGCAACCGAAACCCCAACACCGCAAAGGCAAACACGACCCCTATCTTCTCCCCACCACGACCAAATACGACCCCACTTTCCTCTTCTGGGGAATCCCATTGATGATGATGTGCCGTAGTCTCCAGCTAGCGCATGCTCACATGTTGCGAAATTATCTGGGCCTTAATTGGGGCTTCGACTTTATTACTCCGTTCTCGGTTGGCTAATGTATTTATCTACATACAATGTTTAAGCGCCAGTACTCATGACTTCTTATCGCGGGATGTGTCTTGTTCTCCCCATGGTGTCCATAGAAGTCGTTTATAGATCTCAAAATAATTGAGAATGCAGTGCATGATTGATCTTACCATTTTTATTTGAGTATTTGTCGTCGCGTGGAGGAAAAACCGACTCAGTCTCGCCATTACCTGCCTATGAACCACGAGAACTGTCGAACGGTAAAGGATCCATCATGTAGGAATAGCTTCTATATCGATGTATCGATCGAATCTAACCGATGTTCGGCCAAAGGATAGATGGCCGTGGATTTTAGATGTGACTAACAGTTTTCTCCGACTAACACAATGAAATCGACTTTTCCTATGTGACCTTGTCAGTTCTAACTCAATTACAAACGAAGTCTGGCTTTATTTCGTGTTATTGACTTATTGACTTGTAGTCCTACTGTGAACCTAAAACTGAATCTCCTTTCATCAACTAGTTGTTACTTTGTAATCTCGTAATTTTTCTACAAGTACGGTGATCAGTTCAAAGTCGTGTAAGTGTACTGCTCTCTGCTCTTCCCTGTTTCTGTTCTTGTACGGGTACTACAGAACATCACTCAACTGTCTGCTCGTGTCTTACTGTATATAATTTTGCTGAATAAACACTACAGTTCTATTGTAATATCAGAGGATTTTTGGCTTCATCACATAAGAAAATGAAACTGTTCTCGTCTTTCATTTCACTGACGACGTTTCAGGCCGTAAGCTCATCCTCAAGTCAAAAACATTTTCTATATTGCCTTCACCAACATCATCCACCTGCTATGCCACATAACAGAAAATTCAAAGATCGACCAAATAACAACTGACCGACTTCCTACGGGAGGGAGGGTGGAGTTAGGCCTAGTCCGGGATTCTGCTGCAAAATGGTCTAGTGATGGAGGAAAACAGATAATAATAATAATAATAATAATAATAATAATAATAATAATAATAATAATAATAATAATAATAATAATAATAATAATAATAATAATAATAATAATAAATAATAATAATAATAATAATAATAATAATAAATAATAATAATAATAATAATAATAATATAATATTTGGACCTCCTGCGACCATTCGTAATGTAAATGTCACAGATAGGATTAACATGGTAGATGTAGATATATTGTCACCTTTGATTATGTCACGTAGCAGTTATCTAAGCAGCATAAAATAAAACAATGGCGATCATTGCAAGCACCCTTTTCCCTAACAATGGATATATGTACATATGTGTATCTTATGCCGAGTCCGTTTACGTAACAACTTTATCACACATGAATCACAGCCATTTTTTACTTTTTCAATATTATTTTATAATCTTAATTATAATTTTTCTTAATTTATAATAATTTTTATACTAATATATAAATTATCCAGAAAATGTATTTGCCTTCGTTGCTTTGGACCGTTTGCAACTTTCTCTTATTACTATTTATTATTATTTATAATATCATTATAATTTATTCTTATTCGATCCGACGCATCAACCTGATTCCTATCGAGCGGGAGCGACTCCCTCTGTTGTCATTTATATACATCCAAAACTCACTCGAGTTTCTATGTGCCATTGTGCCATGTCATACCATAGCCAATCCAGACACGCTACAGTATCTTATTTTAACTTTTTTTTTTTTTTTTTTTATACTCGTTTCTTTATACTTTCTCACCTCTATCATATTTATTTGTTGTTTTGTTTTATCTCTTTTATCTATCCTTGATGTATATTTTATTTGTTTTTTGAGCAATAAATTAATAATTATTTTTAATTATTTAAATTTTTAGTTTATTCTTTATTCTTTGTTTAATTCCCAACAGACCGCTATTCATGAAGCCCCACATGCTACTATATTCTATTCAAACGAATCGATCGAAGATGAACGGCGTCACATACTGAAGAAACTTCATGGATTGACGGGTCGATAGAATTCACTCATTTATTTATTTGTATGTACATCATTTATCAGCATTCCCAAATAAAAGAGAAACAAAAGGCTAGACACTTCAAATACACTATCATCAATCGTGAAACTAACAAAGAACTATCCAACGATGAAGACACGTAAACATTTGAGGAAGCGCTCTCAAAACCCATGTCTAGTGCATAGCGCCGGCCAACCGAAAGAAAGAAGAAGAAGAAATAACTAGCGACGTACCACCCATTGTTGATCGAATAGTGAAAAAGAAGATTGGAGGTGGATGATTCTAGGGACAACACCATTGACATGGGTACCTGCATGCTACAAAAACCTGAAACAGATTTTCGGGCGTCTAGTTTTCTACCCTAGCAATTGACTCTAGGTCACCAGCTAAGAGGAAAGTTTGTTTGTTTTTTTTTTTTTTTTTTTTTTCTCAGACATGGGTATGCCTTTAATCGGCCAAACGTTTCGGCCCTCTTCCCTTCTTCAGAGACTCTAATCAAAGAAATGCATTATCCTCCTTCCAAACCTCAGCATTTATTATTAAATCAGACATCGGTAACTTTAGCAATTATTTTCATAACAACATATTATATATCTGTTGTTTTACTTTGAGTGCTGGCCTTTCTGGATTAAACTTTTGGTCTTAATAATTAATAAGCTCACGCCACCCTATCACCGACATGATTAGTGATTTTATAATCCTACAAAGTGTCGGCAGATTTCGCAGCTTTGTTCTTTTATATTTGTCTATATTTTCGTTTCTGTTCTTCTCCTATTGGACTTTGCGTATTATTTTTCTGTTATTTTAGTTCTTTTTATATATGTTCTTTTTTCGCGCCTATTTTTTTCCCGCCCCCCCCTGCCTATCACCGACATGATGTGAATGATAATCGACAAAGGTCGGCAGACGCAGCTTTCGAGTGATGGCAACGTGCTCCTCCTTCCGGCTCATTTTTGGATCTTCCGAAGTGGTCTGAAGTGCCTCTAACGTCTTGCGCGCTGCAATCTCGGGTTCATGTGCCAGGATAGACACACTTACTCCGAACACGGCATTCCCATGACATTGAGTCCGATGGGTTCCCAATGGCGTACGATTTATGATCTTCGCCACCTATCCAAGTGCTCTTTTATCCGTATGCGCAGGGGCCGACATGCTATCGCAAATAAGACCACGTATCGAGTAGATTCCCCTGATTTATCTGATCCATGCTGAGCTCAAGTAATAGTCCACCGTGGACGAATCTCCATGTCTTCTCCTGTCAAAATCCCAGCATGTTGTGGTGCATTGTGTCCTCTTTACCTCTGCCAGTCGAGAACTTATATGGAAAATTGATTATTCGGCTTTACCTTTCTATCTTTTCGTCTTCTCCATGGTTTGAAGCTCGTGACTTGAAAATGATCCACGTAAGAATTGAAGAACTCATATTCACCATATTTTTTCCGATATATAGCAATCTTCGTTTGACAGATATCTCAGGAGCCCTGATTTTCTTTGAAGCATACAATGAGTACAATTTTTTCCTGACGAGCAAGCTAGAATTAGCATATACATAACTAACATTTGAACAACAAAAGCTAAACTCTACATACCCAAAATTATTGCTATCTTGGTTTCTCAATGTTTGCTCCTTAATTACAGCTATTTTTGTTCCTTCTCTTTATTATGTCAGCAAGCTTCCTGCGACCCTCGGCCATAAAATACCTCCAATACATGTATGAAACTTTTGCCATAATTACATAAAGATAAGTCTAAGTCAAGATCTATTAAGTTAATGTGAAACATACACGATAAGCAGGTATATTACCACTAACGCCGGCGAATGTAGGCCAGGTTAAAGCGTTTTCGGTACCAGTATAGCTAAAAAGAGATATTTCATGTAGAATGAAACAATGACTCGAACCATTAGTATACTCACCCTGTTATAGTGTTAGACAGATAAGAAAGCAGTCGATCAAGTATCCATTTTGCCTTATTGTCTAAACCTGTTATACGAACCCATTCGATAAGAACGCGCTTATACTCCACTACTAATCAATCTATATTATTAGTCTTTTGAAGAATTCAATTTATAAAAACTTTCCATTTCACTATACAAAAAATGCTAACAAATAT